TGCCGCCGATCGATTATCTAACAACACGACAATGGCACCGCTCTTGAGGCCTTCGCCTTACACTTCAATTTCGAATGTATTCCGGCATTGAATATTGCGTTTTAGTATTTTCAATGCAAATCTGCAGACACACAGATTCTCATGTTACATATGATAGTATTTTTGTGTTTGTAAGCGCATAAATATTATTAAGCCCGCACACTGACGGCCAAAAAAATAGTTGTCGGTCTTTTAAATTAGATATACATACGAAACTCTAGTACAGGAGTGGGCAAGGTCGAGGCCGAATAGGGCCACATGTACATAAATTCTAAATCAGAGGTTTCCAAGCTTGCTTTTCTCGTAGACCCCTTTCAAAACTTTACTAGTTTCGCTGGAGCCCATGCTACCCTTTCTAACATATTCTCAAAGCTCATCAAAGAATGTGAAGATTAGATCTAACGATGAAAATTTTGCATCGTGGATAAGTTCCAAATTAAATTCGGAGTGGTAAAAATAAAAATAAAATATTTTCTTGCGTTTTTGCAAAAACATCGACCATATAGATTTTGCTTTGGAAGAATTGGTCAAACGTATTTTTTCATTCCACTAGCCTAGTTTATTCAGGATAGCATAATCCTGAAGTGCAACCGACATCCAAAATCATATGACACTTCTGAGCCAGCTTTTAGCGAAAATGCATCCAATACATTGGAATATAGAATGTAGTTTGAACATTTATAGGAAAAGAATGTCTTTCAAGCAATTGACTTTACAACATTTGTATTTAAACAACGTAATGCTAAAAAACTATAGTTTTCATTCTTACTTACAATGTACATAGACCTAAACTTTTGTTCGCCATTGTTAGCATCGATCGCACGCCACCCTGCACTTGGTCTGCTGTTAGCTGTGGTCGACCATGTCGTTGGCCTGTCTTCTCCATGATTCATGGGACCTGCACGCAAGTGCTTTTCAGCCTGAGAGTCAGCTGCTGCTGCTGCTGCTGCTGCAGTCGCATTATTCTGCAATACTTGTGGCAATTAATATACATACGAACACACATCTGTATACATTTACGAGTTATGCAGGCCGGCATTTATCTAACTAATTTATAAATGGCATACAAACAACAAGCAAACGCAAATATAATGAAGAAATTAAATTAACTTGCGCACACCTAATCCTTAGCGGATACAACCCGTCCTCCCCCATTCGCACAGTTCGCTCAGTTGCAGCAGCCCGATTACCTTTGCTTTGACTGCATTCTTATGTATGTATGTATGTATGTATGTATGTACCTACACATGTTTGTACGTACGTATGTGGAGTTAATTTCATTTTTATAACACGTTCTCATGGTCAACATGATACTTTTATTATTGACAGTTGGCCAACATGGCTTTTTCCCCTGCCTACATTGCCACCACCGCCGCCGCAGCCACCACCACCACCACTTCGACCATTTTCGTTTATGTAACTGCGTTTATGCACATCGACATGTCGACAGTCGCCGCCAGCAGACAGCAGACAGCCAATCCGCCTGCCTGCCACCCCGCCGCATGCATTTCGCAATTGATTTTTATTTTCCATGTAGTATTTTGTATGAAATTATTATGTTTTTCTAAAGAGGAGGAAACCAATCTGATGTCAATTCAATCGAGCGGTTGAATGTCGTCGGCTTTGCATAAAGAGTGCCTCGTATTTGTTTTAAATTAGAAAATGCTCTAATTTGCCAGCTACCTACAGAAGTTATTTATTATGTGTGCTACTAACTTGCTGCCAACGAGTACATACATACATACATATGTGCTATATGTATGTACATATGTGTGTGAATAAGTACATCGTTCTATCACTGCTTACCTATTTCCAGACGCGGACATTGCGATGAGGTCATCTCGCCAATTTCAATTGTCTGCTCTGACGGACATCCCAGATGTTGCAACGGCTAGCTACTGATCCCCATAGCTACCGATTCTATCACGATTTTCGCCAACTACCAAGGCAATAAATTACAATTTCTGCATTTTGTTATACATGTGGAACGGCGGTGATGGACAGCTGGACATTGAGTGCAGTTAGCGGATTTGTTTCAATTGGTAAAACTTTCTCCACTGGTTTAGGTCAAATTTGATGAGGTAATGTGGTTAAACTTAGAAGTAGCAGTACAGAAGTTGATTGTAACCTGATATTGTAAATTGATATATGTACATATTATTGGGAAGGCAAGGAGGAAACTGCAAAAATGTGCTGACTTCAAAGAAGAAATTTAAATCTAAGCAAAAACTAGCTACGGTTTTTCGTGTAGCAAAGCTCGCCAAATATTGCAATATTTCGGCGATATGTTTGGTATTTTTTAATTAAATACACAGTTTTTCAGCCATATTTGTTTTTTTTTTCGTGGGAATTTTCGCATTAAATTTTGTGTTTCGGTATGTGGGATAGCAAACAACTTTTTGACTAATCTTAAATATTTTTTATTGATTTCTTTTGACTTCTCAAATCAAAAATGTCTTTAAGATGTTAATAAAATTTTAGAAACAAAATTATTCAAACTATTTTTCTCTATTAAAAGAAAACCTTTTTTTAAAGTACGTAAAGTATTCGTTTCTTCAAAATAGTTTTTCAATCGAATTGAACCAAAATTATAGTCCCTAGTTTGCTTAGCGTCTGTTAAAATAGCTCTTAATGAAAATGCACACTAGATTTCTTAGATTTATAAGGAAAACCGACTATACCATACCCGATTAACTTTCCTTGTGTGCACAGTAAAATTCCAGCATAAATTAATTAATCACCAAACCTACTTAATCAAATTAAGGGTTACGATTAACTATTTAATTAGTTAAAAATTAATCATGATTCACTGTAATCGGATTGAATTTAATCGAATTAACTAATTGATTAAAACATCAAACGATTAGTGCCAACACTGGTGGAAACTCACAAAACCCTTATAAAAACTAAACTTGTATGATAGAAATACTAAAAATTTACTTTTTTTCTTAAATTATTTGAACAATTAAAGTGAGTGCAATTGAGGAATTTTCGTAGCATTTTTTTTCTTTTTTTATCTTTTTAACCGACTTCACAAAAAGGAGGAAGGTTATCAATTCGGCAGAATATTTTCTTGTTTTTTTTTTATGTATGGGGCCGCATAACTTTAGACCACGTTTACCGAGTTCTATAATTCTTTTGAAGTCCATTTAGTTTTTTGCTTAAAAATTACTTGTTATATGTCGTTTCGTTAATTAAGTTTATCATCTTTTGAGAAGTAGAAAACAAATTTACATTAAAAATTATTTCTATAACTGCTTTACCAACACATTTCTCAATCACTTCTTAACGCTCCTAGTATGGACCTGTACCTGGAGGTTGGAGTTATACACCCCTTTGCTGTAATCCGAATGTTCGTAGCTACGAATTCGTAGCTCCGTTCCGAAAATTCGAAAATTGATATGCTGTAATCCGATCGTAACTATCAGCGCCGCTGCCAGCTAAAAACGCGAAATTCGAAGTTCTTAATCAGCTGCTTTGACAGAAATAAATCAAAATAAATATAATCGCAAGTGAATAGTGAAATAAATAAAAAATTTGTTTAATCATTATTTGAAAAGACTTTTCCTTAATTAAGTAGAATACAAAGGATTCAGTGGCCGGTCCCAGGAGGAAGAACACCTAACAGTTTCGAAGATGGATTACAGCATACCAATTTTACGATTCGTAGCAAAATCGAATCTACGACGGATTACGGCATAGGGGTGATAAGTTCGATAAATACTACTCGTGGTATCTAGTTGGCGCATTATATAAAGTTCTATAAGTAACGGAACTCTTCTTACCATTTTTGCTGGCATGCTGTGGGTGTGTTTTTGGTTAGAATATTGGCGTTTAAAGTTTAGTATATTGGCATATCTGGAAATGGAGGAAATTGAAAAAGATAACAGCAAATGCCAAAAATAAGTGATCTCAGCTGTAGGCATTTTTAGGCAATCATCTGGTAGTGATTTTACCTTAGGAAGCTGGACGATGATCCATCTGATCAAAAAATACAAAAAAACTTAAAATATTTACATAAGTAAGTATGTACGTAAATAGTGCCGCTTTGCATAGTAAAAAGTGCTGGGGTAAAGGTTAAAAAGAATTGATCACCATGAAAAAAATCTTCAGTTTCACAAATTTCAACTGTAATATAGCTGGACTATATCGTTAAATTGGTATTTAAAACCATACATCTCAGTCCTTTAATATTGAATCACATTCCTCGGAGTGCGGGTAATTCACAGAGGAGTTGGTGCGCGGATTATATTTCTTTCTCATTCTTGAAGCCAATAGTCCTGGGTTCCGTTAGTAATAAGGCATACTCCGAGGCCCTTGTTTTCCATTTTTTAAGCCATGGTAAAAGTAAAAAAAGATACGTCGGTTCTCTAAGTCCTGTCCTATCAAGTCCATTCCTTTCACTTTCGTCTACTTCCTTATTTCCCGAAGCAACCTATACCCAGCTTAGCTTGCAAAGAGTTTGTAAGTCTCTTCAAGATTGCTGAACACATATCATACAACCACTGTTCGGTTTTGGTTTCGAATTTACTTAATTTGAAATCAGTCAAGGAAAGTCAACCTTTACCTCAACATCATCCCACCTTTCGTCTACATATAATTTCCAATTGATGCTAGTCGGCACAAAAGAGAAACGACTAGGCTAAAATCGCTTAGGCATTTACTATGCTATCCAAGAAGAAGCATTTATTTATCTGCCTCCTCTACATTCTAGAAAACTCTTTGGGGAATTTTTCTTCTGTTACAACTATCTATAAAATGGTACTTTTCTGAAACCCAAAAAAGCCGATAATGAAATATTCGTCAGATTGTACGTTCGAGTATACATATCTACAGATAATAATGTTCGATTTTACCCGAACTTATTTAGTCTTCTTTGCAACCCTCTTCGTAAAAAGTGAAATCAAAACAAATACATTATGCATAGCCATAAAAGAAAAATTAAATTAATACAGATTACAATTCGCAATAACAACAATGTAATTGACCTCTTTCAATGCAACATTGCAGGCAGCAAGAAGTATAAGAGCTTTAATTTACAAAACACAAAACAAAATAAAATTAAAGGAAGCTACATACATACATATATGGGTATTAATGTGTGTGAAGAGATTACGCGCATCGCCGACTGGCACTGGCACTGACAGTGGAATTGGGCGCTGGGCGCTGGACGCTGGGTGCTGAGTGCTGGGGTGCTGTGGTGCTGGGGCGCTGGTTAACTGTTAACTCTTGAAAAGCAGACACAGAGACAAAAACATGTGTGTGTAACTAGTATGTATGGCGATGCTAGGTGACGCCAACCACCGACTACTCGAGATAATGGAAACTTTATTTGATGTAATTTACAGCTGCAAATAAAAAAAAAATCGTTCGGATTGTACAATACAATGCAGGGTTTATCAAAACACAAAAAAAAAAAACAATAAAATAAAATTCAGCAAATAAATGCTTATAAAAAAATTAAATAAAGCTTTAGTCACAAGCACAATCGCGATTTCACAGTTCCGCAATTGTGCAGCAACGGAGCCAAAACAACAAAAAAAAATCACAAATCCGCAGTAAAACGCGGCAAAAGTGGGTCCATTGAACCGCGCGCAGATAAAAATGCGTATGCAGTTCATTTAAACCCTGTAAAAAATTATAGCATGAATTTCTAAAAAAAAAGTATTCCGGGAATAGTCTCAATCGGGTAGAATGGAGCATTCATTAGTCGCAACTAGTCTCATACCGATCTTATTGGAGATCAATTAGTCCCCTACTCATCTCTACCGATTTAATGATATTCGCGTTAGCGGGCAGAGATGGTATTCGCTTAGCAAAACTGAGAACCCGGTTCAACTCGCATGTGGCGCAAGTTTTTATTGTAGGTTTAAGCATCAGTTCTGTACCAGTGTCAATGGAAAATGAAATATCGGCACGGAATTATTCAGAATTATATAATTGGTTCTACAAAAAATATGTATTCATACCAATATCGGATTTATAAAACATATTTGGAATAATATGTATGTATGTATACGGAATAATTCAATTTCTCGCCGTTTTATTTTCGGATCAGTGTTGCCATTGAAAATTTTCAGAAAGTCGCAAAAAAGGGGTCATTGACGAAAAAAGGGTTGCTGCAAGGAGAAGAGTTGCATTTCCTTTAAAAGTTTTAAGTGATGCTTTTATTTGTACTTACAGCAGACAATATTTTTTAACAGCATGGTTCTGTTAACATTTTCTAGAAAAAATCTTTGAAAAAGGGCAAAAGCATAATTTTGTAAAAGGTCTAAAAATTTAAAAATTTTCAAAAAGTCGGGTCAAAGGGTATTGGTGCTTAAAAAGGCTAAAATTGCCCCTTTGGTCGCACAACGGCAACACTGCTTAGGACACGTGTGAAACGGAACTGATGTGTGTGGATAGACCTTTAGTCTCGTCGCGTATTCGCTCCCGGAGTTATCTTGGATTAGTCGAATTTTCTGCAGGGTATGGATACATACGGCCGTACATACATATTTACATATTCCAACTTGTACAAGACATAATGGCGTATCGCTTGTTATCAGCGAGAAGGTTGATTACTACTTTTTTACCAAAACTCCCATAAACTTAATTTTCACTTCTCAAAAGCATTCAGAGATTTTTGGCGAGAAAGTAAAGGATGAACTGGCAGTCAGATTCTACAACTGGTTTTCGACCTAAAACTTGTGTTTTCGTCCATGGAAAATCTGTCAAACGAAAACCAGTTTTCGTTGAAAACTACTTGAAAACCCACGTTCCACTCATTCTAATCGGTGTCTGCACTACTTTTTTCGATTATTTATCCAAGTCGAAGTCATATTTTATCATCTTTAATACGCCATTTCGGATTTGTTGTTAATTGGCTGGCCAAAGTAAAATAGGAATGCAAGTAAGAGGTGGTTAATAAAAAGGAAATGAAGGAAAAGCATTTTGGTTTCGTTTTCGTGTAGCAAAACTGTAATCAAAGGATGTAAGAAATGTCAACGAAAACACTAACAGCCGGTGTGAACAGCCTTCAGCCCACAAACCCAAAACTCGTTTTCAAAGTGTTTTCGTTGTCGGTCAGGACATGGTATAATTTGTAAACAATTAACGCGATGTTTTAAGTTTTGATATAAATATTTATATATTTACGTATCTATATAGAGCACGTACATATGTATGTAAATAAACGTATGTATGTATTTGCACTGATCATGAAATCGCGACCGCGCTCGCAACACAAAGGTCATATTCATAAACCGCAATGCGCGTAAACTAGACCCAATTTATTTGTAGCACAATCAAATGAGGCAATGAGCAAACCAGCTGTGACAACAATAAAAAAAAAAAACGAGAAAACGAAAAAACTAACAAGCGAAATTGAATCAAATTAGCGAAATACATTATTTTCTTTCCTAAAGCATACAAGCGCGGAACGTGCGGTAAGGGCTCGGCACATGCCTTAGGGTGACGACGATGCGTTGCTGGTTGTTTTGCAAGGTTGAGCTATTGACTATTCGACCCACTAAATCAGCTCATCAAAGCTTTCTATCCCTGTGCAGTGGCTCAAATGTTCGAGAAAAATGCAGTTTTTCTGATGCATTTACCCAGCCGCCTACACAAACCTATGCGCGCGTGTGTCTACGCACACACACACACAGTCATAACCGAATTGCAATCGAATGCATTTGTGTATGTGTAAGTAAATACTTGTTTATGTAGATAGCATGCTGCGCCCCTCAGCGCACATATCGCATGAGCAACATTGAACTTGATCGTTGAAAAGGTGTTATGCGTTTCAATTTGCTCAATTTACTACTTCACTTGCCTGTTGTTATTATTTGTACTTGCTGTATGTATGTAACATACCCTGTAGTGAAAATGTACAGTAGCCAATAAATATTTTTTTTATACATAAACTGGTGTTGAATGGAGAGCGTTAGGGCAGGCACCTTGACGAGGTTCGGTGCTTAGCGGAATCGACTTACTTCCTGGCATCGGATCGCATCGGTCCTAACGGTGGTCTTACTTCATCACGGGATGCTAACCAAAGTTATTTTGAGCATAGACTCCGCCTCGTCGGGCAGGTGTTGTACCTATGACGAAAATGAAAATGAATACCATGCAAAACAACAAAACGAAAAACAGGTAGCGTGAACTGTGACGCTAGAGACCTCAGGAAAGTATTAATGAAAATGTATCGACTATAGACACGGTAGGAAAGACATGTAAGAACATAATAAATAGAGATGTGCAAAGTATAAAGCATAACTACTCTAGTTGATCATATTTACAGGATAAAAAGTTCGGCTTAAGGTAAAATATCCTCAACCGAGAGGCACAGGGGATGTTGGTTACGATAGACAAGCTCATAGCTGTGAGACAGGCGAACGACGCGTAGCTACGGTAAGCCGGCAACAGTCGATTACGCGACGGTCCGCCGGATTCAAGAGCTGTAAACCGGACGGAGAATTGCTGCCATAGTGATGATGACAAGCCTTCGAACTCTAAGGTTCCTTCAACCTTCTGACTTGAGACTTAGCGCGATCGCTAGGCAGTATCTGATCGTGGCGTTTGTTGTAGCAGTCAGCTCTATGAACAGCTGATAGACGAAAGTTGAAAATCTGAATAATCAGATACAGGGAGAAGTACCAAAACTCCTGCGACAGGGGGAGGTACAACACCAAAGGTGAGGACGGAGGACGCTTGATGGATGCTGCAGGGCACAACTTGAATTGGAGGGTGGGTGCAATTTTAATTGAGTACAATAAAGTATAGTCGTTGTTCTGAGTATGCAGTTGCATGTCTACAGTCAATGCGGACTCTTGCATTCTTGGTTGCGCACCCACGTGCGAGATGAGGTAACTAATTCGAGTGAAGCCTTGGTGCATGGCAAAAAGCAAGGAAGCTTCCGATTCCGATTTATTCAGTTTAAGGGCTCACTGAAGTCTGCAGGGTCTTTTCACCAATAGCTGCGTATGCAGGTGGGCGTCTGTCTTGGAGCAACTGGGTCATTGGTGGACGAGCGTATAGACACAATCCGAATCAAAGCGGATTCTTCAACATCTCGCTCATCTGCGTCCATGCCCCGACGGCAGAGAAGGACGAGGCTTCCCAAGACGTCTATGATATGAGCGCTATCCCTGTCACAATATCAAAATCGTGCTTGGCGATACCAATGTGGGCAAGAAGGGATCTTTGGTGCCACTGTTTAGCCTCCACGACGAATCGTCGATGGCGGATTGAGGCTGATCGACTTCGCGGGTGCCCAAAATATGGTAGTAAAAATATCCATCAAGTTACTTGGCTGTCTCCAGATCGGGAAACGAGAAATCAAATCGATCATGCTGTGATAGACAGAAGGCACACTGTCAGTGTTTTAGACCTACGTACACTCCGAGGGCTAACATCGTGGCAAGAAGCTGCACAGCTATACGTATTATCCGCAATAAAGTTTCCTCTGCGTTAGAAAAAATTAGGAGTTGAGTGGCTAAGTTTCACTATTGCTGTGCTTCTATTTGTTACCAGCTAGTGAGAAAGAGGAACGACTGAACTCGGCCAAAATCGCTTACGCAGTTCAGCGCCAAGTAAGAAGAAGCCGTGAAGCCAATTTTATTACATAATTGACTAAAATAGTAGTACATCTTCCTAAACAGCGCTTCGGTCTTTTAGGTTTTTAGCAGACAACATCAGAGTTAAATAACTTAAAGAAGAACATGACACTTCACCTGCATATTTGGTACTTTTATTTGTATATATATACGAGTATTTGTTTCATGTTCGCGCAGAAGAATTCTCAAATTCATATTATTCATTGATCTTTTCGTCAAATCTCTGGAATTTGTACAACAAAAGCAAAAAATTTAAATCATGCAATAGGCACTTTGTGAACCTCGAATCGGCCTGAGCTGGATACAATTCTAAATCGCATTCCCACATGCAACTGACGATCAACAATCAAATCACGAAAAAATCGAAATTCAAACTAAAGCAATTCAGCCAAATCGGCTAAATTGGACACGAATAAGCAACGCATTAAAAACCGCTTTAATAAATACAAGTATTTTGCACAACTATTCTTTTTTCGACTGGCATTTTATTCATTTATTTTTTTTTATTTTTTTTTTTGTTTTGATTTTGGTACCATCAAACCACCAGTAATTTTTGTAATAGGCATTTAATTTTAGTTAAACTGCTCGAAAGGTTCTGCGTCTTTTGCAGTGGCCAAGCCAAAAATAAAAAAAAAATTAAAAATCCAGCAGGCCCACAATTTATTGGTATGAAATGATATGTTTTTAATAAAAAGCGAAAAATCTGCATTTAAATGCAATTTATAAAAGGGATCGGGATGCGCTGGTGGAATTTGCAGAGAAAAAACTCAAACACAACAACAACAACAGCAACATACCCGCAAATATTGCCAAATTTATTGGAATTATATGTTATTTGTACAGCAGCAGCAGAAAAAACGCCAGCAAAGCCACTGACAATCGGCAAAACGCGCCACGATTAGAAATGTTTTGTAAGAATTCTAGCAAAGAACGTTGCGTATAATAAGACTCGCATGTTGTATGAAAAAAAAAACGGCGCGCACACTCGCACACTCACCGAGGCAAGAGTAAAGGTTCTAACTGACTGGTCAGCGCGGTACTTCACGGCACGTCAGGGAAAAACGTTCGGGTGCTGCCTGACGTTTGTGCTTCCTAAAATGGGATACGCTTCGACTGTTCTTTTTTTTTTATTCTTCTATTAGGTTTTTATTTAAGCGGGTGTAGGCGTGTGTGTGTGTGTGTGTGTGTGTAAGCTAACAAATTAATGGTGGGATCATTTCTGCTGTTGCATCGAAATGCTTTGACGGACCAGACCCTTGACTTGACTTGACTTGACTTGAGTCTGACTCGACTGGCAGCAGCTTCTATTGCTACTGTACTCCATAATTTTGTGAGGGTGCCGCCAAACGGCGTTCGTTCGTTCCTCACAGGTTTTTTGTTTTGTCGTTTTCTATTTGATTTTTAACAGAGCCACCGAACATGGCTGCAAAGGACACACGGCTGTCTGCATGACCGACTGACGATTCCACCAATGCATCGTGGAATGAATGAGCGATCGTGTGGCTGAGTAACGTCTGCTACAAAAAAAAAAACCGCCTGTGTCTTAATTTTTTTTTTACTATTAATTTTAGCTTGATTGGTATTTTTGAATAGATCATTCATTGGCAAGGCGGCAGAAAGTCGCTCAAAATCATTTTAAGCAACAAAAGTGCCAACACCAGACAGTAGAACAAGGATACGGGCACCAAAAGTTCAAGGATTTTCATGGCGTTCCGACCGAGAAGACAAGACGCTCGCTGGAGGTCGGTGAACCCATTGAATGTGAGACAAATTGCCGGAAATACATATTTATTAAAAAATCGAATGCTATAGCATTACTCGATAGTCTTCAAATGTAATTAAATCGCATTTGTAGTTTCTTTCAAGCAAAAATTTTATGCGCTTTATTCTTTAAGTTTCGTATCTTTCCTTGAGTGTGTGTGGCGTGTGCCAAATGTCAGCATGAGCATCAGCTGCTGCTTGAAGTTGTATAACGCTAAGCAGAAAACACCAACACCGCTCAGCACTCGGCTTGTCGATCAGAAACACCCCTTTGTTGCCATTCTAATCCCTTCATGGCGCGTTCCACAATAACTCAACTCTTTAGGTGACACTTTTACTATCGAAAATTGCGCGAAAGTGATTTGCTTTGTGATTTCAAAACAGATGTCAATCGGAAATCAATGCCACGCAGCTACATACATACTACATATTTTGGCACTTGTGAGGGCGTGTCATAAGGTGTGTTTGTATAGGTAGGTATAGGTAAGTTACGCGCCTCTGCACATACTGCTTTCGCTTGACATGTGATGCAAGGTTATCAAGGGGCATTTGTCAAAAGGATTGATTTTCAATTTGATTGAGAGAAAATTACATATTTTTCTAGGGAACAAATGTAATTGGAGATCTTCTTGCACATGGAACGCACGCGTTAGATCTAAGAGTTTGCAAATTCTTTCGTGTAGATTTTTTTATGTACCCAGGCGGTGGCTACGTTGTCTTTCAAATTGATCATCAAAATCAGGATGTATAACGTATGTATGTACATACATGTATATGTATTAGAAATGCCAATCCAGGTGTTTTTGAGGTCACGAAAATTGTTTGCATTAATCCCGGGATCCCGAAAATTTTGAAATATCGAATTGATAATAAAAAATTGTTTATGAATTTTGAAGTATGATTTTTCTAAAATGCCGTCTTGACTGCAATTAACAAACAGCTTGCAAAAAAAATTTTAAAAAGATTTAAATGAATTTACTCATAGCGTCGCTAATGTAAACGAAACAGAGAGTTTTAAGAAAAAGTTACATAATTTTTTAAATCAATCTACTCAAATCGAAAAAGCTATAATTTATCCGACGTGCTGGTAAAAGAAGTTCAAATATTTTGTAGTGGAGGAGATAGGGGTCATCAGGTTTTGTATGTAACAAGTTCAGGTCAATATTAGAAGACTCCGCTTTAAATAGTTTGCTGCTTTTACGTACACATTTAAAGTGCAATAATAACAACACCGGCACAAAAAAGGGGTGTGTGCTTTTAACCATACCCACCTACGGACATGTATTTCGACCCGGTGAATCCGAATCTGAGGTTCGTTTGACTCGTTCACCCAGAAAATTTCGAGTTAATTGCGAAAAAATGGCAACAAATTCGACAGTTCTGTATCGAGTAGAATACATGTTTAGAGAATTTGTTTTTGTATATTTTTGTTTAATTAATTTTTATTAATCATTTCTTTTAAAAGTACTTGGTATTTGAATTGTTATTTGTGATTGGGCAGGAGTTTATATAGGGGAAAAAATGTTTTTAATTAAATTAGTGTTTTTTTGTGTATATAAATTTTTGGGTTTAAGAAAGTATAAGTTTTCTGGTATTCTTTACAACGATACCAATTTTTTTAAAAATCGCTTTGTAATTTTTTTGTTTAAAATATTTTTTTTATAAAAAAAGGTATTTTTTGGTTTTAAATGTTTATGTATACAAGAAGAAAGAGAGTTTAATCGCCTTTACAACGATAACAAATTTTTAAAAATCAGATAGTAAATTTTTGTAATTTTTTTTTTTTTATAAAAAAAGGTATTTTTTTCTTTTTAAGTGTTTTTTCTAAAATTTTTATACACGAAGAAGCAGAAGAAAGGTGGTTTGTTTGCTTTTACAACGATATCAGTTGTTTTTAATTTGTTAGTAATTATTTTGTTTAAAATATTTTTTTTTATAAAAAAGGTATTTTTTCCATTTAAATGTTTTTTCTCAAATTTTTACATACGAAGTATACAAATATGCATAATTCTTCAATTTAATCACATTGACAACTATACAAATTTTTTAAAAATCAGTTCAAAATTGTTTGAAATATAAGGTTCTTAATTTTTCGAAGACCCGACCTTTGACCCCTTATAGCACTTGTAAAACAAGTTTGCACAAAAAAAGTTATATCGATTTAAATAAGAGCAAAAGGCGGACTACGTTTTTATTTTTTGAGGTTTTATTTTTATTTACATATAACAATAAAAATTAATTTGTTACCAAAGGTCCTATTTCGAACTTCGAAGGCCCATTTCTCGATTTCGGAGGCTAACTTCGAAAAACGGAGAAATTACTTTTTTACCTATGACTCCATCTCTTAAAAAAAAACTTGGTTTGGCACAATACCCAGTCGAGTGCTGTACAGGGTAATGATTCCAGTATCTGCATTTATGTATATTGTAACTATCAATATCTTATAAAGAGAAGTGTAACATCTTTTTTTTTTAGCTAAAACTAATAAAGTTAGAAGGACGAAATTCGAGTATGTGGTAGTTTACATATTACATATTAGTCCTTGGCATATATTTTTTTTTGAAAAATAAATATTGGAAATTTTCAAGGATATTCATGGATAAAGTTTTAACAGGACATTTTCAAAACTGACGTTAGAGAATTAAAAACGCAGTTATACTATATTTGGCTCCTAGTTTTGTGAATATATTGATTTTTTCGTGTGTTTTATACATTTTTTCATTTTTGTCGCACGGTCTTATGATCGACGTGAGCTGATGCGTGAAGCACTGGGTAAACTTTCCAACTGTGCAGGACAAATTGAGCTAGGAGTTAAACCTTGTAAAACTGAGTTTGTCTTATTATCAACGAAGACAAATAAATATCACTGAATTTTCTTTATGAACTGTAGATGACACCAATTTTAGCCGAAGTACTTAGGTATTATCCTTGACTCCAAATGTGGGTGCAGAGCCTCGATAAATCACTCGCTATGAACAGTGCACACCAAGAAGCGTAAAGTATGACCTTTCACTTAAAGCCACCATAAGAGAGGACGGCATAAAGGATCAAGGCTGTTTCAGGATTCATTTACGACTTTCTACAAAAAAAA